GAGCGTTCACTTGACTGGATTCCGGTTAAGAACCGACTGTGCGCTGTACGTCTGGATGATTCAGCACAGAATAACAGCTGCAGAACGAAGTGTCGACACTTATTTGTCTTATCCGTGTATGCGCCGAATGGTTTCATTTTGCCAGAAGTGAATGTCGAATTCTATGAGGGCCTCTCTCACTGCCGCAAAATGGTCAGTCAACGGACATCGTGATGGTCGCATCATAATTGATGGACCGCATTTCAGCTGTTTTCACCTCTCCGTACACTTACGCCGTCTATTGCGGTTGCAAGGAAGCGCAAATCGGTTTAACTGACACGAAGTTGGATATAAGAACGACTGAATGCAACCGTAAATGCGGGTTAAAAGTGATTATTCAGACTATTCAACCGACGTCCTCGATCCTTTCTCACTCGTTTTCTCAATCGGTCACATGGTCAACCAAACCGCACTAAAAATGTGCGTTTCCAATTTCATAAATGCGACGTTTCTATTGAAGAATCTATGCTCTGCAAGAAGTTTTGGTTCGAACATTGCATTCACTGTAGTGTGTTGCGTGCAGCTTTTACAAGCACCATATATCCCGACGGCATCAAGTAGACGAGTCTCTTTCATCGCACAACACTTGATTGAATGCCGTCACGAGGTAGACCGCGCAAATGCGTTTTCGGCTGTTTTACGTTACTGCAACAATCACCGACTAAGAATACTGGCAGCAGCATCGATCGTTGACAAAAAACCCAACTTGTGTGTCCAAGAGCGTTTGGCCCTCCTTGTCTGTAACCAATTGCGTGCAACTACGCACACACACATACCATGAAACCCAACCAGATTTCTCAATTCTCTTCATTTGTTGATCTTGTTTAATGTGATACATACGCGACCGATGAGAGTATATCAATGGCATTCCTCTTCTCTTAAAACCGTCGGAAGTCGATCCACATATGTGCCATGTAAGTAGTTGTAAATCGGTCTTCGAAGCGAAGGTCTCATTACTTCCCAGTTCTACGACCCAATGAGGAAGTCGGTAAACTTTGCAAAACAATCAGTCACCTCCCCGATTGAATTATTATTATTATTATTATTATTATTATTATTATATTTCACATTTGTCTAAGGACAGACTGTGTGCCAAGAAAATCATGATACAATAATTTTTATAAAAGAGAAAAACGTTTCATGATTGGCATGTAGGCTGAATACTACCAAGTTGCCCAGTCCAAGTCAGGTGAGTTTTCTTGGGGAATCCACAACCGGAGCCTTTGGCTAACCAAAGCCTAATCCGCAAGGCAGCAGGGCGGTGTGCGAAAACCGCAATCCATTGGGAGTTGGTGTCCAGTTCATCGGATCATACGCACTTTGGACGGGGTCAAACGTCCAAGGTGTCCAACGCACCTCGATTTCCGGTTGAGCCGGTGACCACTACCACACCGAGGAGGGTGTGGGTGCGTGTGGTTCGTCTGCCTCCTCTTGGTTGGTTTAGAATCAGGGGTTTAGCCAACTCCCCTAGGTGAACTACCAGTGGTTCACCAACCCGGTTGTAGCCCCTGTATGTCGGCTTTTGGTCCTCTCACTTTGGTGGAAAAACACCTCCGCCACGAGAAGGCAGTGAGGAGGACTTCCTCAGCAGAGGCTATTTGAGACGCTTGGTCGTATGGGAGCATTTCGCGAGGTGCAAGGGACGGGTGACTAGCCGCAACCCTAGACACTCACCCCCGACCATACGGGGGATTTTGGAGGCATATATAACTAACCCCGGGATGCAGTCGCATCTCTCAATAACAATCACCAGGACAAAAGAAAACACAGGATTTTATCGCAGCACCCACACAGTAACAAATAATGATAGAAGTCAAGTCTAAGGGGTGTCAAACTTACACTCATTTATTATGTGTTTACCCTTTCTTTCCTGGAAAGAACGAAAGAAAATGTAATTCATTGATGACTATCAATCTAGGTGACCCATTCAGTTTCGAGGGCGTTGCAAAAGCATTAATACATTTTCATAAACCTTTGGAATTATGATCGACAATTTTCCCCGGAATTCTTACTGGAACCCTATAAAGTATTTAGACTTAGAGACTGTCTCACAAACCACATAATTAAAAGCTCTTTGGGAATCAACAAACGATGAGCTATAAACAGGAATCACGTAACCTAAAGAGCAAGTTTTGCTGTAATATTTACACTAATATCAAGGACAGAAAGGTTGAAGGGGGACAGTCTCGTGTAACCAGTTTTGCAAGTGCATTTCACAGTTATTCCACTGATCTAACACCCCATGACCCCAAACCAGCCGTCCCAGCCTCGTATGGTGTACTCGCAGTTGACTAAGCCCATCAAAGTTCGGACAGTTAGAGCAATGATCCTTATATACATATACATATATATATATATATCACTAATTTTAAAATAAATCTGTCTTGTGTCATCAAACCTCTCATTCTCTGTTGTCCCGGTTGTTTAATACCCCCCTCCCCCCCCGCGTGGATAGTGCGTCAGAATTGGTGGGGTCAGCATCGTGTGGATTACTGTGTGCATTGTCCCGAAGGTGTTCAAGGTCTTTTAGCACGAGCCCGAGCGCCGATTTTTCACGCCAGCTATTGGGAGTCCAGTGATGTGGCTGCATTTGTCCTTCGCCAGGTGAGCCGGAAACTGTGCATGTCTGCGAACTCTGTCTCCATATTCCACTTTCTCCATTCCTTGGTGCTCCTGGTTCTCAATAGNGCAATAATACCAGCAGGCCACTCACTGTCGAATTTGGAGATCTCCATGATCTTTATTTACCGCGACAAATGTCCAATTATAATCCTAAGGTGCACCGATGCCCCGTGTGTCGTTTTTCTGTTGACTCTCATTTTTGTATCCGATGGCATCGTACATTTTGAAAGAGTTTCCGC